GCAACGAACAGTAACGCCGTACACTGCATGTCGCCCCACGCCGCCATTTGCGACGCGAAGTTGAAACAAAACGGAATCGCTAGTCTCCCAAGTCTCCGGGTCTAACCCGCCCATCACCACGAGTTCCAAACCGACAGCAGCGAGCTGGCAAAACATGGGCAACCCGTTAGGCAAGTCGGGTATCGGAGGCAACTCGGACCAGTCACCCGTATCAGGTTCCAGAACCGTGACCCGATAAACCGGCGTGGTGAAGCTTTTCGCCAGACCCGAATTCCGATTCGGGTCGAGTCGTGCTTGGGAGAAAATAAGAAGGTTTTGGGTATGAGCAGTAGATTTTCTTCGGCGAGAAAATTCTGGGAGTTGAAGCTCAAGTCTCCAAGCTTTGCAAATGGATGCAATGGTGGGGAACTGCTTGTAGGGAAGACGAATCAAGCAGTCTCGGGCAATATCGTTAGGGAGATCCGGGATTATATCCATGGAAGAAAGAGGAAAATCCAGGAAATTAAGAAATGAAGAAGGGAAAAGAGGAAGAGAAGGAACGATTTGAGAAGAGTAACAAAGGATTGATGGCTTTATAGGCGTAAGATTTTTTTTTTTTTAAAATTAAAGTTTATTTAAAATTATTGTGAAGTTGATAGAATTTGAAAAGAGATAAAGTCGTTTGTTTCTGTGAGTTGTAAGCAAGTGGGTAGGGTAACCACATGGCTTTCTTCTAGAAACAATAGAGGGGCCATGGTTAAAGCACCGATCAAGAACAAGATGCCTGTCGATTTTCATTTTATTTTTCAAATATTTTATTTTGTGTGATATTTTTATTTATTTAATAAATCCCGTTAGCGAACTTCATTATCAATAAATCAAATATTATTTATATATTAAAGATAATGGGGAACATAGGGGCGATTATAATTAGTATGTTCTTGACTCTCCCAAAAAATCTTAATCAAAAAATTATTAGAAAAAATAATAGTATTTGTTGATTATGTTAAGTTGGTATTATATTGATTTAATTAATGGCATGAATTGATTTTCTATAAAAGGTGGACCAAAGAAAGATTTCATGTTATATTCTATCCACAATATAATAGTAGCTTAAAGAAATAATAACAAACAAAAGAAGCCCACAACGTAAAGTTATTTGGTTTAATGAAAGGTACTAAATGATATATATAATTACATAAAAATAAAAATAAAAATAAAAAAAAGTATGGGACAAATTTTCAATATTTATTTATTTATTTAATATAAAAATTAAAATATTTAGATTATGTTTGAAAATTTAAACAAACTATAAAAAAAAACTAATATTTACAAGAATTTTAAATTTTTTAATTATTTTAAATTTTAAAATTAATTATTATCTAAACTTTTAAACATATTTTAAATATTTTAATTTTTATCGATGAATTAAAAACGGATATAAAAAATTAGATACTAAATTATAATAAGTGTTTGTTTAATATGAATGTAACACTTAAACTCGAGAACTTAGTCCGGAATAAATTTTTTCTATTTATAAATATATATTTAAATAATTTAATTTTATTTTTATTAATTTTATTAAATTTTTGAAAAAATAAATATTATGAAATTAAAACATTTG